TTTTAAGACTCGTCAATATAATTGTTGAAACCCCCTCTTCTGCCGTGACCTCCGATAACATCAGGCGTACCTTTTTGTTCCACTCGGGGGTTTGAAACATATGCACCGAGGGTGTGACAGAGAAAAAGAACTAATAAAGAGATGGAAAAGCAGGCTACAGATTTAAGGAGGAGAATGATATTATACATATGCTATCCATCACAGTGACACTAATTCTGCCATTTCTTGTGGATGATCCATTATCATTATGAGGTGATTCAGTGCAGGCTATATAAATCATCCTGGAAGGTAACAGTACTCAAACAGAAACTAAAGGAACTCTCTGGAGGTTTGGCCAGTTGTAGCGCGGCGGAGCACGGTTTTATGAGAGGATTCACGTTTGTTTGTATTGTGAAATGCTGCAATGTTCCCACCTTGTCCTGCTAATCAGCAGTGTAACGTACAAAATCTCACACTTACTGAAAAGTCTTAAAACGCAGACTGTATATAAAAGATGCACACAGACACTAACATCACCCATTGGTTTGTGGACTTTTGCTGTGAAGCCTAAAGTTGGCTGTTGCTAACTTGTTTTTATTTATTTGTTTCTAAACCAGATGTGCCACAATTGGGCAAAAGGTTTGGCGTAATTGTTAGCTAGCATTAGCTTTATTAGTTAGCTGCTTAGCTTAAGTTAAAATCACTTACTGACTGAAGTGGACAGCCAGCTTCTTAGATGTCTTCTGGTAGCGACCTGTTTAACTGTTGCTCAAAGTGGCCAAACAACTACCAATTTAAGCCTTAATATATCATTTAAATGGCCAACATTGACCACCATACTGTTGTTGCAAAAGGAGAAAAATGCAACACCTTTTTTCTTAGAGTTTAAAAGTTTTACAAACTTGTATAAAAAGTTTATAAACTTGTTTATTTGTGCTGTAAAGTTGGTCTTTTAAACATAAGGAGTTTATGCTTGAGTGACTTGTATTTGGAGACGCTCTCAAACGGCTATTTGAAGAACTGCAGTTTTTGGCACGAGTGCACTGGCTGCAGGTTTCAGCCTCGGAGGTTCCAACATTTAAATTATTTTAAAGGTCTTTATTTTTTCATGGCGACAGAAGTCCATTTAACACTGAATAGACATTATGCATTAAATTTCATACTATGAAATGTTACAGTGCGTTACAGTTCATACTATAACACAGCGGTCCCCAACCCCCGGGCCTTGGACCCGTGTCGGTCCGTGAGTCGTTTGGTACCGGGCCGCGAGAGTTGAGGCTCAGGTGTGAAATGTTTGGTTTTCAGGGTTTTTATCGGTTTTCAGCGTTATTTTGTTATCATTAACTCTGTTTTCCTGGGTCTTTTCACGTGTGTTATGAATAAATCGTCTTTTTTTTTCGATACCGGTACTGGTTTTATTTTGTTGTATTTACCCGCGACACCTTAAAGGCCGGTCCGTGAAAATATTGTTGGACATAAACCGGTCCGTGGCGCAAAAAAGGTTGGGGACCGCTGCTATAACACATACACTGTCTTGTGCAGTATTAAATTCCACACTTGTTTCACTTGTGATTTGGCTCGCAGATATTTTTGTCTGCTAGAGGCGTGCAGCAAAGACAGCAAGATGGGCTGTTATAGACAGATGGGCATAGGCTGCTTGGAGCCTTGTAGCAACCAAACGGGAGCTAGTGGAGCCCAGACCCTTTTAAAACGGGGTCACAACAACTTTTTGTAACTCTATTTTCAGTCAGATTAACGGCCTCATATGTGTTTTTATTGTTGTGACATAATATCAGGTCAGTCTCTTCAAAACTGCCTCTTTTTTTTTTTTTTTTTTCTTTCAGAGCAGCAAAAGAGCTGTAATGGAGAGAGTCGTTAAAGTAATGGGATGTAGTGAAATGGAGGGAAAAGTGGGAGTGGAGTGGAGGTAAGGAGGGGAGTGGCTGCTGGAAGTGGGTCACAGTGGCACTGACGTGATAAAAAGCGACGCGCTGAAAGGGGGGATGGACTCGTGCCGCCGTCTGCGTCACCTTTTGTCCGGCGCGCACACAGATATATACAGTCTCACATCAGCTCAGTTCAGCGGGTAAACATCAGTAGCACAGATATAAAAATAGCTCACGTAAAGGCCGGGTTTTCCTCTTTCTGTCAGGGCCTCCAGCGTTCTCATGCTGCATTGTTTACAGCCTAGTTGGAAATATTTCACTGCTTCACAGCATCTTCTACTCGCTTATTCACCTGTTTAAGATTGCATTCAGGCTGTGCATAAATAATAACAGCCTCTCCCATGATCCTGTTTTTGTTGGGCTGTGTGTGCATGAAAGAGCAGATGCACCGAGCTGAGGTTTGAAAGGCGGTTATTTTGGCTCGGCTGTGTGATCTCTGTATGATCTGTAGCGTTTCCTTGTGGACGAGTGATGCAGGGGAGAGGATGTGTTGCTGGAGGGGCTGCGGGGATGAAAGGATGAAGGAGTGGCAGGGGAGCCAGGGAACAGTTTAATTGCCTGACCCTTCTCCCACCAGGATGACTCCGGAGCCGGGTGTTAAAGAGAGAGGGTGACGGCTGGATTCCACGAGCAGATCCCCGCAGCTCTGAGCGCGTGTGTGTGTGTGTGTGTGTTTTCTTGTGAATTTTCTCACAGCAGATCTGCACATATTTGAGAAAGACAACTTAATCATGCCGTGCGTGATGCTGAAGGGATGCACTTTGAGATTTAGCCTCCTATAACACATCAAAGGCTTGTGGGGAGTAGAAGGGGAGGGATGGTGCTGTGTTTATGTGAAGAAGCTGTTCATGCTCGCGTCTGTGGAACCCATCACTTAGGGCCAATTCTGTTTTTGTTTTGTTTTTCTAGTTAACATGGAAAACTGCATCAATATTTACCTTCGACTGTACATCTTTACATCTTATTGTCATTTATTTGGTCTTAAGAAGATAAAAAAATACGAGTTTGTTCGAACACTGATGGTTTAATCTTAATCCCTGTGAATAATTTCAACATACACAACACTGGGGGAGAAAAGCAGCAGTTAACATCCATTTTCTGCCCCCCCCCCTTTCAGAGTCTTCTTCGTTTGTTGTTTGCTGACTGAACGCTGAGGAACCTTCATCCTAATCAGCTTGAGATCTGGCTGCAGGTCAGGCAAGCAGATGAATACAGATTAGAGTGTCACAAGGCAGTAAGAGAGGATTACCAGATCTGGCCAGCGTCCCACTGTGGCCTCCTGTAGGTGTCCAGTCACTGGCTAACAAGTGTTGTCTGCACTGGCCCTTCTTAAAAAAAAAAAAAAGTCATGGGGTTAGACCGATTGGACTTGGCTCTGTCTGCTTTCAAGTTGTGGGAAAAAGATCGATGATCCCGTGGGTTTTAAAATAGGATATATTTCCCTTTCTTCATACTTGTTTTACATTATTACACAAAGAAAAATGATGCGAAAGAAGATAAAAGACAACAGTAGTTGAATGAAAGACAACGAGGGCTTTACCACTGCTGTTCTGGTAAAGTGCATTTAATACAGAGCACCAATTCTGACATGAGAACACTTACAGGCTCCAGATTCAGTTCTGAAAATGTTGTTCTGCATCTATAATGTAAGGTAGATTTAGGACACCAGTTAAGCATAAGCTTGACCAAAACTTCATGGATCTGCAGACAGCTGAGTGTGTATGCTGTCTGACGTGTTTAGAAACCTCCTGCTGTTTGCATAAAGTATGTCTGAAACTGATAGCATCTGTGGCTGTGTGCATGTAACTGCAAACCTGCTGAATCCAGGTTGGCGTTCGAGTGGGCTGATTTGTGAACAGTGGTGCCCCCTGCTTGCAAAGTGCTTGTCGACTTGCTTAAATGCGTGTTGGACTTGTGAGGGTCATTTAAGTCGAGGCAAACTAAGACGAGAGTTGCCAAACAGATGCGAGAAGCTTTGTTTCATTTGCGTGTGCGGCACCCTGCAGCTGTGAGTCCTCATGTGCATCTTGTTAAACCTCAACCCATCATTTTCATCAGCAGCTTCCCCGCCGTCGCCGCTCTCAGCCTCTCTGTAATTCCACTTAGAAAACAAAACAAAATAAAGCCGTGCGTGCGGTGTTGTGCTCCCGAGTAGCTACCAGAGCGCGGCTCCTGTGCGTAACTCGGCTTTGATCTCTCTCTGTAAATTAAACATGCCTTTTTAGATAACAGGCTCCCTGGCACCTGCAGAGTCAAACTGTACCTCCGCGCTTCACATCAGCTCCCGTCCCTGATTTGAACTCTGTAAAGTTGATTCAAGTCAGCACAGTGCCGCTTTATTGGGATCAACCTTGGTTGTGTAAACCTCTGTGGGATAATTAGGCTGCAGTTAGACTGTCAGATGTGCAGATTACAGACAGTTCTGTGACGAATCTCAAATATGACAGTTGACTCTCTTTCATACAGAGAACAGGAGAAATGTGCACCAAGTTGGGAAAGGAAAAAGCGGTCGAGTATGGGGTCAAAAAATGGGTCAGCGTGAACACTGTGCTTGACCTTTGACAACAGCTGCAAGAACTTATTTTGCAAAGCGACCAATAGGCTTGAATTTGGGGATGGAACCAATACTTGGATCAACTAAAATTACTAAAAAATTAAAATTAGGGATGAAATCTTTACTACTATTATAACAATTTTTTTAGCCGTCTAAAAGCTGATGCCATCTTTCTTTTTATGCCAATGTAAGTCACCAGATAAATACCTGATATAAGCCCATACCAACATTTGCATCCATAGTGCAAAAATGTAAAAGGTGGGAGAATTTGTACCTTTTGTCTTTTGTTTGGGTGCCAATTTAATATTTTTAGATCTTTGAGTGTCAGAGCTAGCATATTAGCTAATATTATAATGCTCTTTCACAAGGATATGATGTGCATCTCAAACTGCACAGCAACCTTTGGAGCTCTCTGTGGTCCTTCTGCCTCAGTGGCCCTGCCTGCCCACTTTCCGCTTGAGGTCTTTGAAATGCTAATCACTTCTCCTCTTCTCTTTTTTTCCTCTTCATCTCTCCTCCAGATTCTTCCACCAACTACATCAGGCAGCTGGAGACGAAAGTGCGGATACTGGAAGACGATAACAATAAGCTCCTCTCACAGGTGAGGCTTGCACAAGGACACACACACACAGGCACATGTGCCATGCCGCAATTAGCCCACTTGAGTTTCCGTCTAAACTTATACCCTCGCTAAACTCCTCTTGTGCGAATTTTTAACTCATCCTCAACGCATGACAGGAAGCTGTGATGACATAAAATCGTTGCCTAATGCTTCTGTGAAGCTACCCCTTGCAACAGGCTCCCTGTTAGTTGGGGAATATGTTTATCCATGTTTAATTCATAGGGAGTCAGTAAGCTTCAGTAGCGTGCACTGATGTTAGCCCCCGAGGCGAACTGTGGGAGCGGAGCAGAGATGAGAGGAGGAAAAAGAAGGGGAAAGAGGCATTAAGTGACAGTGACAGAGTAAAGGATTTATCCCCAAAGCTGACCTTGCTCTGACTTCTCCCAAATTTGGAGGATGGAGGGCTCGGTGAGGGAGGGGGTGTGTGCAAAAACGGGGTGGGGTGTGTGTGGAATGCTGGTGTGGTTCATCAGAAGGTCGCATGTCAGTCTGCGGAGGTGTGTTTACCCAGTCGAGCACAAACAGCAGATGACGAAACCAAAGCACACTAATCTGGTCACGTGAGGGGAAATCTGATTCATGAAGTGTTCGACTAATTATTGGCAAAAAAAAAACAGCTCAGGCTTTAAGTTTATAATTTGGCCTCTTTAATTTTATCGCATCATTTTATGGTGCGAGTCGGTTCGTTTGAATGCAAATCAGGTTGCACAGAGACGAGGCTGAATTTCACACTATAATTTGAAGTCTTCTTTCCCATTTATATCCCAGCAGATTCATGTGTAGGCAGAGTGTAGGCTGTTATCACTGACATGAAACCTAAACGATCCTCATAATTATCTCTTACGCGCTACAGTTAGGTGTTACACATTGTCTCGCAGCAGTCCAAGCATAGAATATGAACTCCCGTCTTATAGTTTTTGTTCACGTTGTTTTCTGCAGACGTGATGTTGGGATATGAATGCGTTCAAGTGCAGTGCAAAATGTGAAACTGTTGAGACTGATTTATTTATTTATTTATTTTTAACAAATACATTACCTTAATTTTATGTGTTTAAATCCATCAGCAAAACAGTTGCTTCCATTGCTGTTCACGGCTCCTCACAGAGCGAAACAACATAATAAACCATTCCACCATTATGTTTTTCTCTCCCTAGGCTTATAGCCGCTATAGCTTATCGCAAATACAGACGAGAAAGGTAATCTTCTGTGATGTCTGTGTTTGTTGGCTCTTCTGCTGGCCGGTTGGTTCAGTCTGTTTGGCCCTTTCACTCTTTTTACTCGTTTGGTGGTGGGACTTTTCACATCTTTGAGCTTCTTGCTTTCTCTTCTGTAGAGTGCTGACACTCTCAAAGCAGCAGCTGTACAAGGCAAGGTGACTCTTTGCAGTAATGTTTTATGTTGTGCCTTTCAGACAAGGAATCACCTCTGTGGTAATGTTTAAAGGGTAGGAATATGATGATTTGTTCCCTTGATGGGATTAAGTTATTATGACGCAACAGCCTGTAGTGTTTTTTAGCTTAGCATAAAGGCTAGACGCTAGCTAGACTGCGGCAAAGATCGGGACTGTGACATCATCCACTGGCTTCTGAAGAAACCATTTCCACTTTGGTTAAAAAAACAAATCTAATATGACGAGGAGGGGCGGGTCTGACCGTCAAACCACTTGCTCATCGGCTATGAATTTGTCAATATCAAATCGTTAGCTAATGAGCATACCGCAGATAATCCTCCAGTTTGAAACCTATTAGGACCAGGATTTATGAAATACACTTAATTTTCATGACCAAAAATGAGCGACTGAGCCCATAAACGCAGCTGGAAAGTATTTACACAAGTCAACTCAGAAATCCATTTTCACATAAATTACAGGACCTGAAATCATTTTGTTTTTAAGCAAAAACTACAGTGGAACTGAGAGGTCAAACGGACTGCAACTTAAGAAAACACCCACCAGCAATAAGAAAAACGCTACAAAAGCACACAAAACACAACGGAAATATGAAAAAACTGATTTCCAAAAGCACAAGGGAAGTGTTTCTGGGGAGACAATAACCCGACGGACTATTTGCAGGAACCAAAATATGCCAATAATTTTGCCGATAAACACTTAAAAGAAGTGGAGGATCTATTAGTTTTGTGAGAAAAGATGAGAGGTAAGTGTGTTAGCTTAACTATTAGCCTAAAAATCCGTCATCAGTATTTTATGAATCATGAGATTAAAACACACTTACTTAGCATGTTTTGGTTCCTGTAACTGGTCCGTCGGGTTATTGTCTCCCCAGAAACAGTTTGTGTGCTTTTGCAGCATTTTTCTTATTTCTTAAGTTGCAGTCCGTTTGGCCTCTCAGGGCCACCGTAAAAGCACTTTGGATTTACCCACTGTCTGTGGTTCAAAATGCTAACATAACAGTATTATTAACACTTAGAACTTCTAATTAACATAACATATCTCATGTTTTTATACCATTAAAAAAAGTTAAACAACACATAACTTCTGTTGCTTATCAGTGGTCAAATCATGAGAGAGCGTGTTATCAGACTCAAACAAGCTTTGTCCCCATCACTCCCTCTCGTCCTGTAGTGCTAAACTAACCAGTTTCTGGTTGTGACTTCATATCATTGACACACCTAATATTGATATTGATCTCCAACTTTTCGTAATACAGTAAAGTGCATTGACAAACATCACCACAGAAATGATTCACCTTGTGATTGTGCCGGTTTTCCGAGAACACGGGAAGTTAAATGCACCGCCTTGCAGGGTTGTGGCTTCTGTGTCCAGGGGTTTCCTTTCTGTGCTGCTAGCATGCTGTGCTAATGAATGAACACAGGTGGCCCTTGCTTGTACGTGGCCTTTCTTGGCAAGAAAGCTTTTATCTGTCCTTGGAACTGCTCCGCACAGTGTTTGGTACAAGGTAACTTAAGTGAATGAATGCTACATTGTGCTTTGGTGCATAAATGACACACGCATGTCCTAGCTTGTGTTGACGTCTGGAGGGCTGAATAATTAAAGCTCCGGGGGGCAAGCCAGGTAGATTCAGGCATCTGTTATGCATGGCCGAAACCTTTGTGGGAGTGCAACTGAACAATGAAGGACTGTCAATCTGAAGCTGAAAAATATGAATCTGTAATCTCTGGTTGTTGTTACTAAACATGACTTTCCCACAGAGGTGATAACAGGAAAATATTGGGTGAAAATAAGAATTACTGAAGTTTGCCATTCAGTTAGATTTCATGATATCCTACCTGATGACGTGTGTGCATATTAGCAGGTTCAATTGTTACAATGGATTATCTTCCCCAGTGGATTGTATTGCCTAACTTCCTGTGTTATGAAACCGGCCCAGCGAAACTTGTGTTCAGCTAGAGGAAACAATGGCCTCTTAGTGCAGGAATGCTGACCCTCCAGACCAGCTTGGCTGAGGTATTTTAACCATACTCAAGGGAGCGTGGAGGGAGTTAACAGCAGGATCCCACAGTGGATATTAACATTAACAAGGGCCTACGCAGCCCAGGTGTAAACACAATTAGAAAAACAGGTGTGTGCACTCAGATGCACACACTCAGACATGCTCAGACACGCGCATCTTCCTCCGGCTTTCTCCCACTAAGCTCTCCCATTTCTTCCAGCTGTTACTTGTCTCTAGTCGAGCTCGCACACGAACTCCGGACGATGTTGAGATAATCTGGTCCGGACGTTGTCGGAAGTTCACTCTTGGTAAATACTGTTTGGTTTAGGTCAGGGTGAGTCAGGCATCTTGCAAACTTTGCATTTGGGAGCTTGCAACCCAAAGCACTTTTATCACCCAATGTCAGAAATTTGCGCCGTCGTTGAGAGAGGCTCAGACCTGTGGAGAAAATATCTTTTGTCAACTCACTACAGTGTGTGAAGCACTCATGCGCTCCTCCTCAATCCACACTGACACTTTGTCATGAAACTGACAAGTGTAAGCACGTAATGATCTGTATATCAGATGATGCTCCGTCCCCCGAGTCACTGCAATAAGCCCCAAACTCTCAAACACTTAATGTTATGGCTGTCAGGCTTTGCATTCATGGCATAATTAGGTAACAATAATGATGGAAGAGCGACGTATTTAAGTTTAAAGACCAGGTCATTGATTTCAGATGCAAAAATACTGAGGCTAAAGCTGCTTGTCCCAGATTAGCATCCATACTGCACCGGCATATGATGTACAGCCCAACTGTCTAACGGTGTAACTGTGATAAGGAAACGCCTCTTATTTCAGTCTAGCACGAGTTACTCTGATTTAACAGTTTCCATCCTGTATTTGATTAAATCACGGCTCTGGAGGAGCATCCCGCTGTCCTTCCTACCCTTTTGTCAAAGTGGCATCACCCCTGCCCCTCATAACTCAAACAAGAAACGATGCAAGACACCCACAGCATCTTCCCGTCAGCACCAAGAACATTGTGATGGATGGTTAAGATGCAGGGCCCCTGAATTTTAGCCAGGAAGACTGCAGCGAGCCAACTGTCCTCAGCTGTCTGGCAAACAAATGGCTTTGCTGGTCTCAGCGGTCAAGGTCATGTCGGGGTGGGAAGTAAAGTTGGAGATGTGTGATGGTTAAATGAAAAGCTAGACTCAGGGAGAGGTCTGCATCGGTAACATAAAACTCTTTAGCAAGCCTTCTTATTCAGGTGATCAACTATGCGTTTATGTCACCCCTCTTGATTTTGACATTTAAGGTTACCAGACACAAAGCTTATAGGGATGTCAAAAAAGATGCACTATTGAGGGCATGAATATGGAAACTGAAAGGATAGATCAAGAAGCGCCAGGGGGAGGACTGGAAAAGGTTAGAGGAACATTACAAGGATACTGAGTTGGAGGAGAGAAGAGGAGCAGGAATATCAAAGGACGGGGAAGACGAGGGGAATGCTGATTGTGGCTTTGTGTGTGCGAGCGTGCACCTGAGTGCGTCACACACACACACACACACACACACACACACACACACACACACACAATACAAAGGCAGACAACACAGCACAATGTCCGGGCATTCATAGACACACACCCACAGCTCAACGGGTTATTTATAGCCGAGCGCTCCCAGGCATCACGTGTGTTCATGCACCGCGCCACGCACAGAGGGAACACTAGTGCGCGACACGAGAAATGTCACAAGAAACAGTGGTGTTTGCCGTGTCCCTGCCTGCAGAGCGAAGCTGGGCTGGTAACTGCCCCCCAGGAACCAGTGGTCTTTGGCTGCTAATGAGGACAAATTTTAGGCATGTTGCCCCTATGTAGTGAACCTCAATGAAGGCAAAACGGGATACTTCCGCACACGAGCAATGGCGTGAGAGTGATGAGGAAAAGTGCCTTGTATGGTGAGGGAGACACAGCCAAAGACTTTAATAAACCCCCTTGGATGGAAATACCAACGGGCAAAACCTGGGTAGTAACAAAGATGCTGGTAGTTGTGCAACTAGTGACACAGATGCAAGAAGAGAAAATTGGTGTAAAATTGCTTCACAGGCAGTGTTTTCTCTGTTTATGTGCACAAAACTGGGCTAATCTCTATCAAATGTTGGTGATGGTACTTGCGAGTACCTCAGGATTTTGAGTATTTGAGTAAAAAGTGGCCGTTTTTATGTTAAAATATCTCTCATAGAGGCAAATACATTGATTTTTGTCAACATTGTCAGAATGAATATTAAAGTCAAATTAGTGCCAAAGTGAACAAACTGACAGGATTCCCTGTGTGTTTGCACTCCGTCTTGGATTATTAACTTTAATTTGTTAGCATGCAGTGAAGCCACTCTTTGGGTAATTTTAGGTGAAACTCACATTGAAGTCTTATTTTTCTTTTTTTTTTTCCTTTGGTGTTTGTTTTGTGACCGTTTGTGCCCAGCAGTGTAACCCAGGTGACCTTCGTGCCCTGAGGAAGGGAATGACTCTGTACCACTCAGAGTCCCAGCTGTCCTCACTGCCCCAGCGCCAGGAAGCCATGCACATGGTCAGTAATGAGAAGACTGACACACACGCACACATACGCAAACACACAAATTTTGAGAAGGCTAACCACCTATACTAAGATTCACACTGACACGCTTAGATGAATACCCGCTCACACTAACCGCTAAGACAATAGTCACAGCAATCAGTCAGCGCTATGACACTGCTTATACAGATGTGGTTACATAAAGAGACAGGGCTTAATTGCACACAGACATGCACATGCTTAATTGTAGGGAGCGCTATGCCAGTGCCTCCACGGCAAAATCAAGTCAAGTCAGCTCTAATTCACTTTACTTCTCACACTCCAATTAAACCTCCACAGGCAACCTCGCTCTCGCTTACATGTGACAGGAAGAAGAAAAAAGAGAGAGGGAGAAGAAAAGGAATGAAAGGAAATGGGGCATAAGGGGGATGATCCAGACAGAGTCTTAGACAGAAGAGAAACTAAGGCAGAGACCAGGATAGAAATTTAGCATAGTCAGCACTCTTCCTCATATCCTGTCCCTGCTTTTTCTTCCTCCCTGGAGCTTGTTTGAACCAAATTCCACTATGAAAATAATAATCCTCTCCACTCCACCTCCACCCTTAACCCTGCCAATGTCTTCAGGAGGAGAGGATTGGCAATTAAGGAAGGTCAGAGTCGGGCTGTGCCGCTCCTCAGAAGACTAAATCTTCCTTGTGTTAAAAAAAAAATAATTTTTTTTTGTTTTAATCACAGGGTCATTTTGCAGCACAGAGGTAAATTGTGAATTGTAGGTTCCCCATATTTACAGTGTAGTTTTATATGAAATAAGGTCAAACTTTTGATGTGCTATGAATAAGACATTTAACAGGCATGTGTTGTGAAAAAATATGCTGGATATAAAAATGTTGGATATATTTGATTAAATCATCATGTAACTATATTTTTGCTTTAGCATCATGAATTTGGTATTAAAATAGATTTTTATGTATTGTTAAATTAGAATTATTAGCAGCAGCGCTTTTTATTCATTGTTTCATTTATTCATCATTTCATTGTGTATTTAGTGGTGCGTCTTAAAAATTCAGTCCACACCAATTTTGGTGACTGTTAAATTATGTGTGGGTGACGTATGCCGAACAAACGCAAGCGATGAAGATAACATTGAGATGATTAAATGTACATAATATATCAGAAAAGAACATATTTATATTTATGTTACATCCATAAGAATTGGGATGTAATATAAATCGAAAAAATGTATAGATATTAATAAGTATGTGTGACAATATTTCAAAGTTCTTTCTTAACTGTCGTTCTGTTAAGGAGGAGATAGTTTATGTATGTACACATCCTATGATCGTTATAGTAACATTTTCCTGAAAACTAGCTGCTACGCTTTGCTAATGTTTAGATTTAGATTATTATTTTATGCTTTATATTTATATTTAAATATTTCTAAGATTATATATGTTGCTCTTTAGATTGAACAACTTAACTCGAAATTTCGAGTTACTTTTCTCAAAATTTAGACTTAATAACTCTAAATTTAGAGTTAGCTCTGCCAATCAGTGATCTACGTGGAATTCGCACTCAAAACCAGATCGTAACAAATTGGTGCTTTTGAGAGTACATTTGGTGATAGTAACGCCATGTGATTCAGCTAATAACACAAAGATTTCATCATTTGTGAAGCCACGCTGAAAATTATCAGTAATTTGTGCATTCATGACTGGCTGTAATACTAGTAGTTTAGCTGTAGCATTTGTAGCTGAGGGCTTCAGCTTCCGGTTAACAAGGAAATGACATAATTCACGTAGATTACTGATTGGCAGCGCTAACTCGAAGTTTCGAGTTACTTTTCTCAAAATATTGAGTTATTAACTCGAAATTTCGAGTTAAGTCGTTCAATCTAAAGAGCAACATATATAATCTTAGAAATATTTAAATATAAATATAAAGCATAAAATAATAATCTAAATCTAAACATTAGCAAAGCGTAGCAGCTAGTATATGCTTATATAAATATAAAAAGCTGTGAAACTCTTAGTCAGAGAGAGAGAAGAGAGGAAGTAAAGAGAGTGGCAAGCTAATAGCTGCTAGTTGTCAGTTAGCCTAGCTTAGCTTAGCTTAGCTTAGTGCAGTGATAAAGCGGTGAGAAATGGCTCGTCTGGAGCTATTTGACAGTAAAATAATCCACCACCATGACTGTAATATGTTCTTGTGGGTTTATAAATTGTACAATAAAGGCAGATTTTTTTTATTTATTTATTTTAGCTTTTTCTGCTAATGGCCTTGTTTGTGACAAGCCCACAGAACAGCACTAACGTTTGCCCAGTTCATGTTGAGGAGCAGGGAAAGAAGGCATAAAATCGAAGATGAGATGTGGGACTTCAGCATGACTTCAGTGAAGTGGACTCTTAGTTGTGTGTGTCCCTCCCAATCGATCAGCTCATCCTCTATATTCACTTCTTTGTCTTACTCAAAGTTTCAGGTCAGTGAGCGTACATGAGATTGTCAAATAGAAGACGCTCAACAGTCTGTGCTCATTTTCGTATGTTTAAACTTCAAACCATTGCTCCTGACAGTGTTTGTGCCCCTGCCCGCCTCCTGCTGCAATGACCCAAATCAGCCCTGTTAATGCAGGAGATGCTTACAGTTACGAGCAGTAAACACTGCCCCGAGCTATCTGTGTCCAAATCCTTTTCTTGACTGCACTGCTCTTGGCAAATGCTTGCAGTGAATGTTTACATATTTCAAATATTAGAATATCACAAAAGGCTTAACGATGAATTATACATTCATACTTTCAGTCAGACCAAAGTCCACTTCACTGTATGGAAGCTGTTACCTTTTGTTGGTATAAAGACACAGTCTTAACTCACTGGAAAATTGAAGCGCTTGTAAAGTATGGATGGGTCTTTGTGATGCACACACAGATAATTGGATATCATAAATGGCATAAATTTTAAAAACAACTCCATTTGTCTTTTGTATTATGTGTTTTTACACACAAAGTTTTGCAAGCGTGATTTTTAGGTCAAACATGAGCGAGCAGCTGTTGCAACGCGCGAACTCAACTGTGTCTGTGGAATACTGAACAAAATGTTTCCCTCGGATGTCTGGATGAATTTGCTGTGTTGTTTAGCTGCTCTTTGATCAGACAGTTGCAGATTTAAAGAGAAACCTTGGAATCCACACAGGCAAAAACAAAAGGGTGGGTAAATTTAATATACTAAATATGTGCAAAAAAGGGGGCTTGGACTGGCATCTGCACTGGATTACATCAAGTATCAAACCAGTCCAAGCTTTTCTGGTACTGTATGTAATTAAGTGGATGTCATAAATGGTTGTTTTGATGTAGTTACTAAACTAAGACACTGCGTCAGTTCAAGTGCTGGCAAAATGTGCAAATGTACACTCACATTCACTTTCATCCTATTTTTCTCATGTCAGAGCTTGTAAATATAATGCTCAACCTGTCTGAGGATAACATCAAATTATGCTTAAAAACATGGAAACGTGCCGTTAAGCTCTTTTGCCACTTTGACCTTTTCTTGTCCAATGGTTGAAAGAATACTTTTCTTATTGGTTTGTATGGCCAAAAGCCTCTAGATATAAATCAGTGCTTCGTGCGGTTTATGTGATGTGAATGAACTGCTGGGCAGTTTCCACAAATCGGTCCTCTTGGGTGCAGTGGGATTATTATTTTATCTCCGTGCTATCAGGTTACGTGGGATCATTCTGGCACCCAAATGGGGCCAGCGGGCATGGAGGGAGCTGACAGGCGCATCACTAGCGAGCAGAGAATTTAACCCAGGCTAACAGAGCCAGGGATCTGTGTCTAATGCAAGACCCCGATGCCAGGTTACGGTGAATGGGACCCATTGTGTATCCCAGTGATCTCTGTGTCCCTCAGACAGAGACCCACTGTCTGGAACTACCCGGGAGGGGGGTGGTGATGAGTCAAGCAAAGTCCCCCTCAGTCTCTTTCCTGGCTGGCTGCTCCCATCACACCAGGTTAAATCACTCTGTGCAGGTAGCAGACCAGAGGAGGGAGTGGAATACAAAAGAAACGGGGAAGAAAAACACCAGTGGAGGATTGATGATTTGAGCTGGTATGAAGGGGGTGACATTTTCAGTGTGACAGTACAGGAATACTCTTTTTAAATCCGAACAGGTGCCCCCTGATGGGACGAGTGGGGCCTCTTTTTTGGTATCTTGACTCAAATGAAGAGCTCTTTGCAGATGTCCTGGCTGGTGCAGGTTTACACCTGCATCTTAACCTCTGTCACAGTTCTCCCGCTCCCTAACATCCTCATCATTGTTATGTTATTGTTTCTTTCTCTCACTCTCTGTTTTTCTCTCCCCTTAGGGGACTGGACGCCTACCAACTAGCGAGTCCTCTCCAGCTACAGGCTATTTGTCCTGCGTCCAAAAGCCTGAGGCTGTGGTCCATGCCATGAAGGTAATATTAGTCAGGGAAATCAATCACAGGGTGTAATTGTTGGTAAACAGTGTTACAGCTTTTGTATCATTGATGCAGCTGTGATGCTATCATAGTGCTTTTCCTGGAGAATTTGCAGGATGATGCCTGAAGGCTATTATGGTATAACTGCGACCAGCGTGACAGTTCAAATGTGGGAAAAACACATTTGTTGCTAATGTAATGTTACTTTCTTTTAGATGGTTAAAAGGGGGTAGCATTATATTAGCAGATAAAGTAGTACCAGACCATGCCTAGAAGTACTTAACCATGTTCAAGTGGGTCAGGCTGGTAGCGCTATGGAAAAAAACAAGAACACATTGGCAGTTAGGCTGGAAGATAACAGCGTTGCCTAGTGTAGTTGTGTAAATACAGAAGGAAAATGAGACATGTCCAACCCTGTGTCTGCCATCAGGTGCTGGAGGTCCACGAGAACTTGGATAAGCAGGTTCCTGAGGACTATGAGGATGATCTCAGCGAGAAAGAGAAGGCCATTGTGCGAGAGATGTGCAATGTAAGTGCACCTCCTGCTCCCACAGATGTACTCGCATCCCGGTCTTTATTCTAATTGTCTGTGTGTTGTCATGATTATTGGAGAGCCTGAAAGTGGGGGGCTAGGTGGGTGTCTGAGCTCTCACACAGGTCTGTTGCCATCACTGCAGAACCACTTAGCTAATCACACCACAGGTTTGTCACTGATGTAGTGCCAATAATATAAAATGCACTATATGCAGACCATTAGTGTAACAATGGAAAAATGAGGAATTTGATAGTTGTAAATTCAGTCAGTCTGTTCATTAGCTTCTACTAGATTCAAATCAGGTCAGTTTTGAGCCTTTTTGGCTAATGAGGAACTCGTTTGGGCTCATTTGGTTTGGAATGACACAGCAGCTCTCCCTCTTTCTTTCTTTCTATCCATCCCTCTGTCTCTCTTTTTGTGCCCCCCTTTTCCACTCCAAAGCTGAAAGCCCAAAGTATAGAGGCTCATAGTTGAGCTGTCAGAGCAATTAAACTGGTGCGGCAGGAAAAAGAGCACCACCCCCTCCTCCCTCCCAATAGCACTCCTCCACCTCACCCTTCTATTCTTCCACCTCTCATTTTCCCCTCATCTTTCTCTGTCTGTGCTGAAAAGGCCTTTCCCAGGATAAAAAGGTCTGCTGATTAGAGCGAGTACGAGAGTGGGGTTATCTGGGCCCTGCAGAGGTATGTGACAGGCCAGGAATGGGGAAGCACTACAATAGTACCTCTGTAACATCACCGGGGTCCCGCGGGGGCCCCTCTCACTCTCATAGAGAGATTTCAGCACCGGAGAGACGACACGGACTGAGATAGAGTCCCGTTCTTGTCTTTATGCTTTGATAGAATTGGAAAATGGGTGCAGTGCTTCATTGAAATGTTCAAACATATACAGTGTATAAGATAACAGTTGGGATAACTCCAAAGAGCTTAAAAGTCAATATTCGATGTGTCCACCTTTATTCCTTAATAACTCTCTTAAGCAGCATTTCTTAAAGTGGTGTTTGGGAATAGTTCTCCAGGCTTCCTGAAGGCCATTCATGGCTGCTTTTTGATCCCACGCTATTTCAGTAATGTTGAGGAGGAAGGCCTGTCCATGACTGAAACAGCTCCATTGTGTGCTTTTTTTTCCATCCGTGTATGCTTTTACTGCACTGGGAGTGTGTTTGGGATCGTTGTCATGCTGAAAAATGAAGCTGTTGCCAGTCAGACATTTTCCAGATGGTGCTACACGGTGGGTTAAAACCTCACTGTGCTTTTCTCCCTTTAAAATTCCATAAATCTCCAACACCACTGGCTGAAACGCTGCCCAAAACCATGACAGAGCCTCCACCGTGTTGTACACATGGCTGTTGTCCCTCTCTCCTGACCCCGGCCATACATACTGATGATGGTGTGAACCCAAACTTTCAAATTTTGGTTCATCACATCGATCAGACCTGTTGCAACTGATTTTTCACACCCTGCCTTTCTTAAGAATGGGCCACCCCTTCTACTGAAGCCATTTCTGATCAGGTTTCAGTGAACAGTAGACGTATCAACTGAAGAATGAGTCCAAAGAAACACTTTGAAAGACCTTCAGAAAGGCTGGAGGACTGTTGCTCAAGACCTCTTAAAAAAATGATGAGAAAATCTGGCTCCTTGAAAGCAAAATATAAAGAAGCTCGAGACTTCTGCACTGCACTGAAGCTCTACTGTAGTGAGTGTGTGTAGTCTTCCCAGCTCAAAGCCAAACTGTGGGCATTTGAAGTTTTCCCTCTTGAAGAAGAAAGTCTTTTCTTTCCAGCCTCTGTGTCTGCCAGTCTTTCTCTCGCTGTTCCTCTTCCTCGCTCAGCTCCTCTTCTCTCCTCTTCTGTTCGCAGGTGGTGTGGAGAAAACTGGGTGATGCAGCAGGATCAAAGCTGTCCGTCAGACAGCACCTCTCTGGTAACCAGTTCAAAGGCCCGCTGTAGCATATCAGCCCTAGAGAGAGACGGAGAGATATCAGGATCCACACTCACCTGAAACGCCACCTTCCCACCTGCACCTACACGGACCCGTCACGCCACCGTGCTCCCTCCTGCCGACAGCACCCGGCATTCCTCTGGCGAACGCTCTCTTTTTAGACTGGCTACAGAATGGACCTGTTAGTCTCGTTGTTCACGTGAACAACGTTGCCTGTATACGTTTTTGGATCTCTGCGCTGACATGTTGACAGCCGGCAGCTAGTGTCACCAACCCGCCACTTTTCTGCATCGGTTTGGAGGCTTTCTCTTTTCTCTCTGTAAACAAACACCCGCTTTCGCTCCTTTAGAGCTTAGCTGAGCTGTAATAAGCTAGGGATGAGACGTGGTTTCGAGCACAGGTGACGGGGGTGGGGGGGGGGCAGAAGTTGGCGGCAACGATGAGGCGATTAATACTAGTTTCTATAGAGAGAGACACCCCCATCCCCTCCCGAGCTCCTGTCACATGTATGACCCCGCCTCCCCACTTCCTCCAGCGGTCAATGAGTATAACTAGCATTAGCATTCTATAATGTTAGCCAAGTGAAACCCACTGTGACCTAGCGCTTTTTTGCTCGTAAGACAAGTCTATGGATAATCAAGTCTAGAGATCGCTGTTAACTCGTGTATATTATGTATAAAACCATAGCATTACGTCATTGTTTCTGTTGATTTGACTTTATTTTGTATTCTAGCGTGGCCATGTGATCAACAATTGAGTTTTAAAAAGCACACACATACACACCTACATATACACACACACACAGACCTCAAACAGGGTTTGCTTTTGGTAATACACTCTTTTTTTGTTATTGTCATTGTTATCATTATCATTCTTTTCCAGATGAATTGCTCTTACTCCTTCTCTCTGTAATGTTTGTTCAAATGTATCCGGGCCATTCTGAATCTGCCGTCTCGCTCTGTTTATTAAGGAACAGATAAATTTTCTTACTTTTGTGAAACGGGCTTAAAATTGTATGCTGTGTGCATGCTTGACAATCATTCTCTCAGGTTGGGAGGGCTACAGCTTTGCCTTTGCCCATCTGTGACCGTGCGCGCATGTGTGTGTGAGTGTGTTTAAGAGTGTGAGTCTGTGTGGGAGGAGACTGAAAGGTTGGAGCTGTAGCATCTGCCTGTGAATCCTCTTTTTTTTGGGCCATTGAACCCTGGTTACAGCCCAATTGAAGGCTGATGAAGACATTTTCTGAATCCATCCAAAATAAAATGTAATTCTATAACTAAAATATCCTGAACCTCCCCGCTCAGTTTGATCTGCTCTGAAACTTTTTTTATACAGTGGTTTGAAAAGTGCATGTTTGTCACAGTTGCAGGTTTCAGATCATCAAACAAATTTAAATATTAGATAAAGAAAACACAAGTAAACACAAAATGCAGTTTCTAAATTAAGGTGTTTATTGGGGAAAAAATCCAAACCTGCATGGGCCTGTGTGCAAAAAGTGATAACTGGTAACCTAATAACTGGTTGGGCCAGCAAAAACAGCAATAAAGCAGCAACAACTGCAATCAAGCATTCACAATAACTGGCAATGAGTCTTTGACAGCGCTGTGGAGGAATGTTGGCCCTCTCATCTTTGCAGAATTGTTGTAATTCAGTCACATTGGAGGGTTTTCGAGCATGAGCCGCCTTTTTAGGGTCCTGCCACAGCATCTCGATCGGATTCAGGTCAGGACTCATTTTACTTTGCTTAAGCCATTCAGAGGTGGTATTGCTGGCGCGTTTTGGGTCACTGTCCTACTGCAGAACCCAAGTGCGCTTCAGCTTGAGGTCACAAACAGATGGCCGGGCAGTTGTAGGATGGTTTGGTAGACGACAGAATTCATGGCTCCATTTCCAACAGCCAGTCTTCCTCCTGAGGCGGATTAGCAGCTCCAGCCCATCACACTACCGCTGTGACCCTTTCCAGACTGAAAGCTGTCAGTGTCTTTGTTTCTCAGGTGTTTCTTCGAGTCGTAGCATGATGTCTTGCTTTTTGAGATCTTTTAGCCTGCTCCACTTTTGTTTGTTTGTTTTTTAACTGAACTGTGGTTAATCACAGTTAATTCCTGATTTAACAACAGGGGCGATTACTTTTTCACACAGGAACTGGTAGGTTTGGATAACTTTTCTCCCCTAATCAGTGAAATCACCATTTTAAAAACAGTGTTTTATACTTACTCGGGCTGTTTTTGCCTAATATTAAAATGTGTTTGATGATCCAAAACATGTAAGTGTAACAAATATGCAAAACACTGGGAAATCAGGAAGGGGGCAAAGACTTTTTCACACCACTGTATCTCTGACGATTGGGTAGGGAAAGAAAAGTCACATAGATGGATATTAGACCGTTTCTGGCATCGTGGATTCAGCAGGTGTGTTTATGCAGTGCGTGTTTTATTGAAGTTATTTTTTCTTTTTTAGAATATGAGAAGTCTTCCCTTTGATGTCTCCGTACCATAAAACACTAACATTTAAAACAAAAATTTTTTCTTGATGTCAGAATGAACAAATACTGTTTGTCGGTGTATTTATTGCCAGGTGTAACATAGTGAGATAGAGATGGGAGCGCAGTTGGTAACTGAACGGTCACGTTTTAAACTCATCAGACGGATTTCGTGTTATTAAAGTTGTCTGATGAGTTTGCCGAGTGACTCGACAGCTCAGGCTCTCCCATCTCTAGTGTTATTTGTTCCAAATTAGAACATTTCTGAGGCTACCCGTTTGTCCACCTTGGTACTCTCAATTAAAGGGTTAAAATATATAGATATATATAATAATAATAATAATAAAGTCTGATTTTTTTTTTTTAAAGTGTCCTTTTTCTAGGAACCGATTTGAAGCCATTATACAATTTTGAATACTTTATATATGGCAAATGATTTGAGACGTGCCACACTGTTTTCTTTATTGTGTTTTAATTTGGACCCAGCTGTATATTTGGGAAAAAAAAAAAAAGCATCTGTAGTGTTTTTTTTCCTGCCTGTATGCTAAAGCCACAATACAGAAACCTAGAATCTACAGTGTAAATGTCTATTCCTTTAGTAACTAGCATGACTGGAACCTCTTTTCGTGGTTTCACCAATAAAGGAGAATATTTCGCTGGTGAGACCGAAAACATGAAATAGTCCACTTTTAGAAACATTTGGAAGAAAAATAAACAAGTTGCTTAATGATGTTGTGAACGGCTGTCTTTATTTAAGCATGCGCTATATATTTTTTTTTTTTCCACTAGCTGAGGTAGGCTGCCCTCTGGTGGCGGAACAGTGGAAATGAAAATGTAAAACCAAAAACTGGAATGCGCACCACTGGCCAATTTATTAGGTACCCCTGTTCCCTTCAAATCTGCCTTCATTCTTGGCGTAGATGTTGAAAACAAAACAGTGATTTTGGTCCACGTTGGCAGGATAGGATGACACAGTTTCTGCACATTTATGGTGAAAATGGACATGTAATTAAGTAAAGTTTATTTATATAGCACCTTTCACAGAAATATGTCACAAAGTGCTTTACAAGGTAAAAACATAATACAGTCATAAAATACATCATAAAAACCCTGGTCTGCAACAATACTCA